CAACAACAATTATTGAAGATTTCCAGAGGACTTCACCATTGAAATTCACCAGAGCTATAGTGAAACTGACAATGCCCATGTGCATGGCAGCTGGATGCTGGAATACATCGGGTAAAATTGAAAAAAAAAAAAAAAGAGTTAATCCACCTTTCTGATTCCTGATCCTCCACACGGGTTTGTTGTTGGATCGCCAACTTGAAGAGGGAGAATTTGCCATCGAACTTCTGGCCAGAGAAAAAACCCGTAATATGTAGCCAACATTTGGAAGAAGAATGTTTTCAAGAGGACTTGGATATTAGCGCGTTGTGACAAACACAAGATGCAGCACTGGGCCTTGATCAACAGCCGATACCGCGGCATCTTAAACCAGTAGGTGGCAGTAGTGTTCTTTGACAAACATGGATGCCTCCAGTAAAACACCTTCAGATGAAAATTACATAATTTATTGAACAGTATGTAATAATTCCTCAGAAAGATGCAATATTTTGCAAACCCTAAGGCGAAAACCTTGTCTGACCCAAGAGAAAAGGCATCACTTTTAAAGATTTCCAGAGGACTTCACCATTGAAATTCACCAGAGCTATAGTTAAACTGACAATGCCCATGTGCATGGCACTTGGTTGTTGGAATACATCGGGTAAAGGTGAAAAAAAAATGTAGTTACTTCACCTTTCCGATTTATGATCCAACCACGGGTTTGTCGTTGGATTGCCAAAATGAAGAGGGAGGATTTGCCATTGAACTTCTCGCCAGAGAAAAAAAACGCTTTATTAATCCGATACTCTCTGCTTCACATAGTGCACTGGGTATCGCCTTCATGGATAATAGCGCATTGTGACAAACACCAGATACAGCACATGACAGCCGATACCGCACCGTGACGTCACAAACCAGTAGGTAGCAGTAGTGCTCTTTGACAGACATGGATGCCTCCAGTAAAGCACATTCAAATTAAATTACTCTTAATTAAAAACACTTCTCATTTATTGAAAAGTATGTAATCATTTCATATTTAAAATACTTTCAGAAGTTTGTATTCTGAATGTGACTGGACTTTTCCTTTAAGCATGGTGGTGGAGGTGTTATGGTTTGGGCTTGTTCGGCTTTGCCCAGGAGGCTGATTGCTAATGAAATCAGATGCAGCTTTGTCATTCAAAGGAAAAACTAAACTTCTACCCGCTGTGACTAGAGAGGAAGCTCAGACCCCACCTCTGTTTGGATGCTGAAGCACAGAAACAAACAAGGCTGCTTCTGTACGCCCACCCTTACTTTCTATTGATGCATGTTTTTTTGTTTCAGACCTACCTTTTGGTAAATCTCTCCTACCTTCTATTTTTTCACTTTCTGACATCATTAAGTATTGATATTAGAGGAATTTTTGTTGTGTTGGTTTTAGCTTGAATTTAGCCAGAACCAGATTACTGTTTAATAACTTTTACAAAGCATCTATGGCTGCAGAGTGCTGGTCGTTGTGTTTTTTTGTTTTGTTTTTTTATCAATGTAATGATGAGAGATGAGACCTGATTTGGTTTTGTTCCTCTCACAAGGCATACAAGAACATCAAAATTAATCCAAATGTGGAGAAAACCCCCGCAGCCTCGCCGCAGGTTGAAAAATTGGGGCAGGACTCGGGCACGGACCGGAGGACGCCACTTTTGCCGGAAAACTCTAACTACCAGAAAAGAAAAGTGACAGTGGATCAGGAATCATCAGAGAAGGAGAACAGTCCTACAGGGAAGCTTTTAACTAATAAAAAGCTGAAGCATGGAGGAAGCATGGAGGAAACGGACGAGACAGACAACTTCTCAGGTGCGTCTTTCAGGTTCCAGGAGCCTCCTACAGATTTCATAAAACCTACTGTAACTCAATTGGTTTGCACCAACCTATTGAATCATTTCCTGTTTCCTCAGATCTGGTGGATTTTACAGAAGAGTCTAGACAGTCCTCTGCAGACCCGCCGATGACCTCAGAAAGTAAGACCAGTTAACTGGAATCAGGGGCGCTGATAGCAATTTCTGGCAAAGTTGCTTAGGCTCACTATGTAGTTAAAGACACACAACAGGCTCATGAAATGCTGCATTAATCCTGGTTTAACTTTTATTGAAAAAGAAAAAAAAAACAAAATAATAAAAAAACTTGCAATCATTTTCTGTTTAAGACGTACAACAGTGCCCGACCGGCTGACATCATCATGATTTCCCTCCTACCTTGAGTAGGATTAACTAAGTAATTGTTGTAGATAGCAAGCTTATTTTACTCAACAGGTTAATAATCTACAGGTAATTTGAACTAATCGGGTAACAAACCTTTAATGAAAAACTGGGTCACGAATTTATCCTTGAAGAATGTCAGTCATCCTGTTCATGGTCAATGAGCTGCTTCATAAAACGCCTTTGCGGACAGTTTTTCAACACTGCTGCTTATTTACACATTTTATTAATTTGTTTTATTCATTGACCATTTCTCAATTCACAAGAACGCGAATACGGACTTGTGTCCTCGCCAAGTATGTTCTTGAGAAGAACACAGGAAAGTATGGACTTGGGAGAACGGGAGCATGCAGCATAAGTATCGGTCAATTGGAACAGAAGCGTACTCGTGATGTCACCACACGCTCTGCTCGTCTGGAGCTGCATTTTACCTCCTGGTATTAATAGTCTCTAAATATTAATAAATTCTTACAGTTTTTTATTTAGTTGGGGAATAATATGAAAACAGTCAGATAAGCACAAAGCAAATGAACATTTTGCCAAAAAACAAACAGGCAATCAGAGCCAGCGGTACTTCACACACGGCTATGCAGAGAGAAACTGCATAGCCGTAGACAGGAGGCATCTGATTGGTCAAATCTACATCCGCTCTACACTATCCGTATTTCCTGTTTGGTACCATACTGGCTTGTTTTGTTTGTATCACTGCCATTGCGGAAAAAAAACAGTTGAAGTTTGACCAGCTAAAAGAGCGAGGTGTGTGAGAACGCTGGGACCCTTTTTCCACTTGGATCCCTGTTCTTTTTTGCTAGGGGTGTGCATTGGCACTGCCCTCACGATTCGATTACGATTCACCAGGTAACGATTTGATTCGATTCGATTCTGCGATGCATCAAAATCCCATTGACTTCGTAAAATCAGAAATGTGCCCAGATATCTGCTTTCCAAGCTTTTGGTGCGTTTTTAATTAGGCCTACCCGTCTATCGCGGTCATCTCCCTCCACCTCAGCCATCTTGATTGTTGTTGGTATGCCCCCGGAAGTAATTGAAACTTGTCCATTTGAGGCCAGAAAATAAACAGTGACATAATCGATTATGGCACGTTGCCGCATCAATGCTGAATCGTGCATGCCCCGCATTGCAATGCATCGCTGAATCGATTATTGTTGACACCCCTATTTTTTGCCCTCATGTCCCTCCGTTGTCGCGCAAAACCACCCCCTTGCGTTTTTCCACTTCCTGACCGCCTCAGCCTATCTAGACCCACAGCTAGTTTGTGATTGTGCATAGAATAACATATGGCGGTCATGCTTCAAAATTGGGTATAAATAAAAAATATCTGCATCATACCTGCTACAAGCTCACTGCGACACACTGCTGTAGGAGTATAACCAGCCCTTTAAAGCACTGGTACACACTGCTGCTGACAGACAGGGGGCCTGATGCACAAAATCAGCGAGAACACAAAGATAATTTATTTTACTGCTGGATGTTCTTATATTTGTAACACATATAGCAGAACGTATCCTTTCTTATTTCACACACACAAACGAAAAAAACTCAGACTGTATCCACCCTTTTGAAGGAATTGTTCTGTCAACACTGTTTTCAGGAGATGGAATCCAACAAGGAGAGTTTATTTTCATTGTGACAAGTGATGAAGAGGAAGAGGGCTTGGATTCAACAACCATACTACCCGATTCTGAAGAATTTGCAGAAAAATCAGTAGTAAGTCTGTTTTTTTGTGAACATGGTTGGGATTAGTGCTCCACATGCTGCATGTACATGTTTCTAAAGCTGAAATGACTGACAGAGCAAACACACAGATTGACAGCTCCTGTAGGAAAAGCTCTTGACAGGTTTCAACTTTCACTTCTTATTCTTTGAAAAAGAGAAATAAAAATCCCTAAAGGCTTTAAGCCATAAGTGGACACGGCAAACGTGGAAGAAGGTGCTCTGGTTAGATGAGAATAAATAAAAAGCATTGGGACAAATGCAGTGTGTGGTTAAAAAAAAAAAATCTAACTGTGGACATCCCTGGGAACACATGTTCCCCAGGGTGAAGCACAGTGGTGGCAGCATCATGCTGTTTTTTAGTTAATAAGCTAGATGGAGCAACATGTACAGGATAAATGTGTTAGAATGGCCTAGTCAAAGTCCAGCAACCGGTTGTTGCCTGAACCATAAATGAACTTACCTTTATTGTTCTATGTGTGACTAATGTTAAGCATTTTTTTTATATATATTAAAAAACATTAGAGCAGATCAACATCTTATTAGTTTTTCTATTAAAAAAGCAGAGCAGTTGTCTGCATCTGCAGGGCAATTTCCTCCTTGATTTCTCAGTCTGAGGCCTCTATCGAAGTCTCCAAGGTGGTTGGGCTGTTCAGTGATAGAGATACGAGTCAGAGAGGCATTTTTAAATGGAATGGGCCC